TACATGATTAAACATAATAGGATTCAATTGAGAATGTACTTGGGTTGAATTCATTGTGAATAATCTAGAAAGATCTTGCTTTTGATTGAGAATATACTTTGATTAATTGCAAGATCGTCATCAAGTTAATTAAGAATGTACTTTAATTAATTTGAAACCCGAACAATAATATGTGNCAACCAAACGTTCCACATTTTCACCAAAAAAATAAAAAAATAAAATCTACACACTACCCGTGACGCACTAAACTTGGTATCCGCTCCATTCTAAATAAACCATCACTCACCCAAGGATTTATCTATCAGAAGAATCGGTACCGTTATAGAGTCGCGCAACGGAATAAAATATTTGGAAAGCGTGTTACGGTCACAAATCAAGTTTTGATGGTCCGTTTTAGAAAAACAATTTTCTTAGAGAAAATTTATCAAACAATTAATGTGCATAAAACAGAAAAGAGTATAGGGAGAGAAAAACTAACACACTGGATTTTTATCCTGGTTCGATTCAAAAGAATCTACGTCCAGTTGTAATCACTATAAAAAAGTGATTAACGATTTCACTAAAATCAGTTTCAACAAATTACAATAAAAGTGAATAAACAAACAGAGAGATAAAACCTTCCTTCGACCAACGAACTGGAAGCAAGCAATTTACACTTTCCTTCGACTGACGAACTGGAACAGTGCAGAACAGTTCTTCCTTCGACCAACGAATTGGAAGAACAGTAGCGTTGCCAACTCGAAGAGAATCGCTCCAACCTTTGACCCACAAAGCGCGAGCTTCTCCTTTTCACAAGACTAGGCAGTGCTATGAACTAGCTTATGAAACTTCCTCAGATCACACTGTATTCTCAAAAGCTCAGAGTTGTATTCTAAGAGTTTTGGAACTAACCTATATAGCCAACTGGTCTAAGTTCGCAAAGATGAATTATAACTACTACAGATAATCGATTATTGTTAGTGATAATCGATTATTCGAGTCCGTTACAGGGTTTTTCAAAAAGTGATAATCGATTATCCTGAGGAATAATCGATTATTCTAGAGACTTTGGCTGTTCTCATCAGAACTAGTGATAATCGATTATTTAGAGTAATAATCGATTATTCCAGAGCAACGAGGTTTTTCAGAAGGGCTCAGGATAATCGATTATAGCTTCTAATAATTGATTAAATGCGTAGCAGTTCTAGAAATACGAATTTTTCTAAGTATTACATGTTTAAGGCTTTTCCTAATACATTTATAATCTACAAAGTGCTTTTAAAACAACTATAACAATGTATCGTCTTTCAGCATCATCAAAATCATTTATCTTCAAATTTACCAATGCTCTTCATTGGTAACATTATCCCCTTTTCTTTTAAGAGGACCCATGCGGTCCCTTACTCCCTCAACCACACTCTCACCTTCTCTTTCTTCCTACTTATTACGTAAAAAGATGTTTCTCTGCATGAAGAGAAACTCCACCCACACTCTCTTTCATTAGACCCACACTTCAACACCAAATTCAAAACTCCATTTTTCCTTACGAACCCATGGGCCCTATGCTTAAACAAGGTTTCAATACAATTTTTCACTCTTCTCTCATTCAGGCTTTTGTACATATATACAAAATTTGAATAAAAAATTACGGATCTAAACAAAAAATTTCAAATTACCGATATAGGCAAGTCGTAGGGGGCCTAGACGACTTCAAATGAAGAAGTCCTGCCCCCTGCACGACTTCACCCTGACATATTAGTTAGAGGTGAAGTCGTGCACCCCAAAAACGATTTTGGGGGCATGGTAATCAATTACCACGCATTGTAAACTGCGTGCTGAAGTCGTGCAGGAAGGACACAACTTTACCTTGTATAAACAAAAACTCTATGGTAATCGGTTACACCATTGTTGTAATTGATTAAAGGCAGCTTTTATGGGCAAAAAGTCTTTGGTAATCGATTATAACCATGCTATAGTCGATTACAACCATGCAATAGTTAATTGAACAATCATCTTTAGATAACCAATGATGAATCCTATTTTGAACAAACAGGGAAATCAACCTATTTTCTTTATAATTATTTTTATCTTTTTAAATCTTTTTATAAATTTCTTTCTATATTTTGTTATTTTATTATTCTGTAATCTTTTATTTTTTTTAATTACTTCTATTATTTTATTTTACTAACCCTTTTTGTGTAGTTTTTATAAGAACTAATTTGTTATAATTCAATTTGGTGTTTGTTGTGAGACAACTTAAGGTTGAATTTACCCTTCCTATTTTGTTGGCTATAATCTTAGCAACACTGAATTTGCTATAATTTAGTAGTATTAATTTGATGGTGACAACGAGAATGTTATCACTCCCATTCATCTTCTCCACCACGCACCTGCGAGCCAACCTCCATTACGGAACCATCTTCCTCGCACAACCTTTACACTCAACACGCATCAACTATGACTACTCACATCAGCAATCTCTTCATAGAACCTACCATCAACACTGAAAGCTCTAGCATTCACCTTCTTCTTAATCGCGATGCACACCTGAAGAAGAACAGAAAACCAAAGCCCTAAATTGCGACCCCTTCACCTAAATCACGAAGCCACTTCGCAACCACCATGGAACCCTAATCGTGATCTAAGAATTCTTGCGAGCACCACCACGATGCATCAACCACAAACAAACTAGGATCAGAACTTAGTTAGCATTCAACCTCATCACCAAATCGAAACCTCCATGGAAAACCTACAAAAAACCAAAAAAATCCCAAATTAAAAAACTCCTTGGCACCACCAAATCTTCATAAAACTGCAACCAGAGAAATCAATTCACATAAATCTGAATTACGTTCAGAATCCCTAAGCCAATCACGACCTCACGAGATGAAACCCAATCGCAACCTTATCATCTTCGAACCTCCAAGCATGCAAGTTCATCTCCCTCAATTCTTGGACCACCGCGCCTAGGCGAGCCAACCATCTTCGTGCCATGGAAGAACCAACCACAAAATCGGACCACCAGCAACCGTTGCAAATGAGAAGGACCAAACCTTGTTTCGAAAAAGTCTCCATGTTTTCGTTGTGCAAAACTCATTGTTGCACAAACCCTAATTTTGGGTGAGGGATGGACTGCCACGTGGTAGCCCTTGAGAAACTCTAATTTGGTCGGGTCAAAGTGTCAATAAAGTCCCTCTCTAGTCAACAAAGGGTTCAAAGTGCAATTTTAGGAAAGAAACAAATGGGGTAAAGAGCAACTATAGGAAATTTTTGGACTTCTGTGCAATTTTGAATAAAATAAAAAAAGGTTGAAATGTAATTTTGGGCAAGATTAAATCTGTTAGATATTTTAAAAGATAATTAAATCTAGAAATGTCAACAGAAAAGATCTTCCAAATAATTTTATAATTATTTATATCTATTAATTATTTAGAACATATTAGATAAAAGATTTTATCAATAGAATATTCAGAGTTCAAGCTCAATCAAGTCCCATGTAAAGAGACCAGGAGAGCATAATCACTCATTCATTCACTCAGACTCCTTCACTGGAAAACAATCATCTACCACTCCTCTTTATTTATTTTACCATGTATTCCATTCCATTCATGGGGGACTAAGCTTCCAGGACTATTATTCTAGTGTAATTTCATTATGGATTCTAAGGTTAAGTTGAATTAATGTATTTAAGTTATCATTTTTCTATGTCTTTCATCTTTCAATCACATTAAAGGTAATGATTTTTGCATCATAAGGTGTTTAAATCTACATGCATATTGATCATATGAGTTCAAAAGTTTCTAGGTTTGATTGAGAATGTACTTTGATTGAATTTAGGAACTTTCAATTTGGTTAAGAGATTTAAGAAATACATGATTAAACATAATAGGATTCAATTGAGAATGTACTTGGGTTGAATTCATTGTGAATAATCTAGAAAGATCTTGCTTTTGATTGAGAATATACTTTGATTAATTGCAAGATCGTCATCAAGTTAATTAAGAATGTACTTTAATTAATTTGAAACCCGAACAATAATATGTGGATAACCGATGATAAATCTATCTTGGAAAAGTAGTGAAATTAGCATATTTCATTATAATTTTTTCTTTGTTTCCTATTTGTTCTTCAATTAGACTCAAACATTCTTCAACATTCTTCAAATATAAATTTCATTAGCATAACTTTTCACTTTTATTTTTAAGCATTTACTAATCTTTCAGAATCTCCGTAAGAATCAAGTATTGAAAAACAATTTCGTATTTGTCGGGAAACGACTCAGGGTTACTTTAACTCTATCTACTTTCATGACTACTAACTTGGCAATACTGAAGTTTCCTTGTAAAGTAGTAATAATTTGATAGCTTCAAGGACAACATATCAAACGGTTGACGTCGGTGATAAAAGTGAGAAGTTTTTTAGGGGCTGACAGGTTATTATCGGAGGTTTGTGGTAGGATTCTCCAAGATAGTGGGAACATTGACGTAGTTGACTTATAAGGATCAATCGTCTGTTTGGACAAACAAATGTGAAACAAATTTTGAGGAGATGAAAAAGAAGTTGACATCTGCTTCAAGTTTAGAAAGTCCAAACATTGAAAAAGATTTTGAGGTACATTACAATGCGTCATATCAAAGACTGAGTACTAATGCAAGAAAGGAAACCAATGGTGTATTCATCATGAAAAGAATTATCTAACACATGATATAAAATTAGTTACGGTAGTGTGTGTGGAGACATTATTTATATACATGAAACACGTTTCCAAGTCTTTAATAATTACAAGAGTTTAAAATACTTGTTTGATGAAAAGAATCATTTTTATATTGATATTTTTTTTAACATGTAATTATTAATATAAAAATAAAATAATAATTAACGGAAAAATTATAGAGCAAATATTCAATTAATCTACATTTTTTTAACAAAAAGAACTCAAATTAAAATACCTAAATATTTACAAATATATTAAATAGATTAAGGTGAGATTTTGTGAAAATGGAAACCAAATTAAGAAAGCAGCTTAAAACAATTAAAGGCAACTACTAAATAAAATAAAAGCGACCCATTGAAACAAAAACACTCATCCCTTATCCAAACCTCACCGAAAAACGAAAGACAAAACCGAGAAAAGCACACACACGAAGCATCTGCCTATTCCCAGCTACTAACTCCATCCTTATCTCTCTATTATTCCCTTAAAAGATAACGCAAACTCTTCCATTTGGAAACCACTAAACTTACTCACACAGGCATGAAAAAATGATTGCCCTCAAGCCCATTGTTCACGCTTCCTTGCACGCGTTCCACCACGCGCCGCTCCACACCGTGAGAGGTTCCGTTTGGTGCGTTTGCAAATCGCAGGAGTCCGATTCCGAGGGTTCCTCGGCGGAAGGAGATGCTAACAGCCAAGAGCTTCTGGCACGAATCGCCATGCTTCAGACGGAAAAGGTTCGCCTCACCGATTTTCTGGAGGAGAGGTCAGAGTATTTGTCGCAGTTTGGGGAAGAGGCGAAAGCTGAGTTTGACAAGATCGGAGAAGATGCTCTCAAAGAGTTGGATGAAGCTGGTGCCAGAGTATGTGTTCTTCAACTTCTTAATGTTAATTCATTTCTCTCTTCTTCTTACTCATCATTAGATTCAAATTTCCAGATTAAGTTTAAGTTTACAAGTTTAGGTTTTAAAATGAATGTCAAAAATTAATTTTGTTTATTTACTTTTTGTAGTTATATAATGTAAATTTCTTTAGTTTCCCGACTCGATTTGTTTTTTTTTTTAATATATTATTTTAATTTTTTAACATAGATTTAGTAATATTTTTATCCCTATATTTATAATAGTAATTTCATATTTTTATTTATTTTTAATTTAATGTTTATTTGATATTTAAAAGAATATTTAATGTGATACTTAAACGAGTTAATTTAATAAAAAACTTATATTAATTTTTAAATTTATGAAACAAGTTAAATTAAAATAAATAAATAAATATTAAATCATTTTATAATAAATAGATAATATTAAATTATTATTATAGAAATAATAATAAAAATACAACTAAATATTATATATATATATATATATATATATATATATATATATATATATATATAAATTATTTTTATATGTAAAAATTAGATCAATAATTTATAAACTGACAAAATGAATAATTTAACTTTTTATACAACTCAGTTATCTTTTACGTACGACTTTATTTTTTAGGTTTAATCATTCACTAAGTCCTTATTTTCGCATGGAATCTCAATTTCGTCCCTTTCTTTCTGAAAATATCAATTGGGTTCCAATTTTATGAAAATTGCAACAAATCGATCCTTCCCGTTAAATTGGCTGGACGGCGTTAAAAAAATTGATGAGTGGATACTGTGATGACGAACGAACGCTCGTTCACCAGCGAACGAACTCTTGTTCACCAGCTAACGAACGCTCGTTCACCAGCGAACGAACGCTCGTGGACCTCTTACTGCTGGACGACCGTTCGTTCCACACTGGACGACCGTTCGTTCGGTGGTCGACGACCGTTCGTTCCACACTGGACGACCGTTCGTTCGGTGGTCGACGAGCGTTCGTTCGTCATCTCAACATCCACTCATAAATTTTTTTAACGCCGTTTGACACTATTTAACGGAAAGGATCGATTTGTTGCAATTTTCATAAAATTGAGACCCAATTGATATTTTCAGAAAGAAAGGGACGAAATTGAGATTCTATGTGAAAATAGGGACTTAGTGAATGATTAAACCTATTTTTTACAAGTTGTAACGCTTCAATAAAAAAAATCTAAATAAAATTTTTGTCTTTTAGTGTATAATTGATTAATTTTCTTAAAGAATCTATATTTAGTATTATGATTTAATTTTTTGAAAATAATATTTATTTATATTTTTCCTTTAGCATTATGTTTTAAATTATTTTGTCTTTGAATCAATTTAACGTGTTAATTTTGTTCAGTTTTAACAAAAAAAATATAAAAAATATTAGAGATAACATTAAATATTCAAGTCAAACTTTTCAATATCCTCGATTGAATAAAAAAGTATTTGGTAGACAAAAGTACATAAAACATTATCAAAAATACTACCAACTGAATACAAAACAAACTTAGTTGGAAATAAATTTAGGTTACTTTCTTTATAATTTTATCCTACATTCCTAATTTGGGGAGGAGTTTGGATTTTTAAATTGAAAAAGAAAAAGATAAAAAATCTTATTCAAAGTTAGAAGTTTTTCAAGTCAGAAAAAAAATATCCAAATCCTTGATCCTTGGTTTTAATTTTTTATTTATAAGCATTTTATATATAAAATTGTTTATTCTTTAAAATATAAAAATAATAAAATATAAATATCTTTGTCCTTTGCTCAAAAAATCTCCTCTAAATCACAAAACACTTAATAAAATAAAAACATCTTCGATATTGATATCCTGACACGTTTTTCTCATACGATTATTATTCGTTGTTATTTCTTCCTTGCTAATCTTACATAACTCCCTCCCCCAACCATATAGTTATAGCCATATGAGATTGACCCAAGTTGATGTTATTAATGGTTTCGGCCCAATATTGGTTTGTTCCTTTTAATCCAACATTTACCTTACACATCCAAGGTTTCATCTACGTTTTCAAATTCCAGATTTATCCTTTGATTATTATTATTACTCGTTTATGTCTTTATTATCATATATTAAAATTAGTATCTTTATTGTATTTATTATTTTGAGTTGTGTTATGTAACATCTCAAAAATACAATCTAAAACTATATTATAGAATGATTATATTGAATAATGATACAGATCAGTCTTACACTAAAGAAGAGCGTATGGTTATGGTCGAAAAGCCTTACAGAAAGAGTTACAAATTTAAACTGTACAGCACAATTCTGACCGAACGGTTTTCAAAAAAAATATACCGAACGGTCCTGCAAAAGAAAAGGGAAAAGGTGACCGAACGATTACTTTACTAAAAGATTATACTACTGACCGAATGGTTCTACTATTCGGTCTTAACTTCCACCTCGACTATATTTTCTTCTTCCAGCGCCTCTTCCAACAGCTCGTCTCCTTCTGCTCACATCCACACGGATGATCATTGCAAAGACAAAGACGAACGTACAAAACAGACAAGACAGGAAACACATATGGTAAGCTTATGTAATTTAATTCATGTATAAACATACATTTCACACAATCAACCAAACAAGATAAATTTCATCAAACATTTCAAGCAAAGCTTAATACTAGACTGACTGTCCGGACTGTATGAAATCTGTGTAGCTAT